CGCTATTGTTTCATTTCTTCTTGTTCTCTTTTTTACGACTTTTGCCATTTTCGGTTTCATTTCTTTCCTATTTCTCTGTCTGTTATCTATGTTATGCACTCAACCACCTTGGGAAAATTCGGGCAGTAGGCAATGAGCTACACCTATCTTGTGAGGGCTAGTGATACTAGCTGGTTAGCAGAACTTCAGTAGGTGGAGCGGGGCTCGAACGTGTGACCCAATGGTTGATTGTCATCTCCTTAAATTGCTGAGCCATAGCTCCACATCCTCTATGTACCTATTACTTTAATGTGGTGATACTAGATGTGACAACTTGGACCGTCACACCAGGTCCCATGTTGGTGTTATCTGAGTGACTGAGTACGTGGAATAAAACATTCTTTTAACGATAGAAAATTCTAAGGCGGTGGTTTGAAATGTGATACTATGATGTCTGCCATAATGGTCGAATAACCCTTTCAGTAGAAAGACCATGTGTAGTGCACCTTCTTGTCACTAAAATAATGCTGGTTTCAAATAAATAAACATTTGAAATAATATTGAAAACTTCAGAATCAAAATTTGACTTGATTGAGTTGAATACTTTGAGCACTGAATAAATAGATTATAAGAAAAATATATCTTTACAAATATAATTGATTGATAATTTAAAATAGCAGTTAAATAATCTTTCACGGCGATGACAAATAACCTTAGTCTTATAGGTTTATTTTAGAATATAGGCATCCGCCCGTCAACATTCGCCATTTTTGCGTCTTCTTTGTTGTGAGCGGCAGCACCTTCCTCAGAATCCCTAGCTTACTCAGTAATAGACATAAGTTAACATTGTTAGTTAGTTGGAGGCAATCGGCAGGAAGCCATGCTCGACCTAGGTCTCATGGTTGTTGGCACTCATCAGCCAGGCGTATCCGCAACCTCGATGGAACTGACCTCTCGCCTGAGATTCGAACCCACGTCACCCAGTGTTGTAGTCAGCTACTTTAACACTGAGCTACTTGGGACGCGACTCGCCTCCTATAAGACTGGGTTACATGTATTGATCGGTCACAGGAGTATAACCAATTTCATATTGTCTAGTACTGAGTGCAGACCGAATCTGATCGATCATATTTATAATGTGGTCACCAAGCTAGGAGGCGCAACATCACAGTGCACATTAGTAGATGTTAGTTGGTTGGAGGAATAGCCAGGAAGCCCTGTTCAACTTAGTTTTCGTACTTGTTGGTACTTGTCAGCAAGGCGTATCTGCAACCATGACGGAGGTGAGTCGCGTCCTGAATAGCTCAGTGGTAAAGTCGCTAACTACAACGCTGGGTGACGCCTGTTCGAATCTCAGGCGAGAGATCAGTTCCATCGATCGATCAGATTCGGTCTGCACTCAGTACTAGACAATATGAAATCGGTTACATTCCCGTGACTAATCGATAAAAGTTAACATTCTTCCCCTTCAATAACCTCTCTACCTTTGAATAAGAAATAAACTGTTTGTCTGAGTACTTTTTACCACATAACTCGTTCCTAAATTGTCTTTTGTTATCAGTACTTACACGTAGGTAAGGTACTGATTAGTTTGATAATAGTGCACATTGATTTGCGTAAGGCTAGTCAAGTGTTAGACAATAGCAACACAACCAAACTCTTATATATGCAACATTTTTGAATTGCAAGTGAACCTCTTTTATGCACATTAAAACAAAAAGCATTAGACCAATCAATATTTTCGGTGTACTGACAAGTGATGTCTCTTGTTTTCTTATACGAGGTATACTCGTCAAAACAAAATGTTATCATACAACATCAAGCGATAATCAGTTGAGTTCTAACAAATCCCTTTCCTTCATCTTCTGATATCTAATCTGAGTTTAATAACTGGAAAACATTCGCATCTATTATACAAAACATCTTCAGTGTGATTATCGTTTTAACTGCTTTTTCGTTGTGAAATTCAATGGTACGGTTTTATATCAAAGGCATGAACTGATATCTCATGGTCTTTTGTACAATACTATGTCAAACTTTTTACAATGACTATTTCTTTAATTACTTAGGTAATATGGAATTGATTTAAACGTCTATAGAATAAAATCATACCATCTTATTATGACAATACATTTCTCATTAGATTATTCAAGTTTTTTTAAGAGAGATAAATGTATGAAAACCTTGATTACTCATCAGTTTACAAAGTTATAAATTACTGAATAGTTCTAAATATGTATTAACCAGATAACTATTAAAAAACTGGGAAGTACAACACATTATAAAGTAAAGGACCTACGACTATTTCCGGAAGCTCAGGCTACACAAATTGTCTATGTTAGCTTTTAAGTATTTGAACCTGAATCTATCAGTCTATATTTTCAACATCAATCAATTGGTGATATACACCAACATATTTTCAAGTACAATGTCAATTTTAGAAGATACTGATGCTTAGAGAAACCACATTTTCTTCAATGTTTTTTGGTAATTATTCAAAATAGTGATCATCTTAGTTATTGTATTGTTTGAAACTGGCACATTTCATTTACATGATTAGTTTGAAGATGGATACTTCAGATTCTCATAATCATTGATAGATTATAGGCGTAAATATGTGTATTAAGTAATATTATCATTGAGAACACTAAATTATAATACATTTTACATTCAAAAGTGAATAAGGTTGTGAATTTCAACTACTGAACATTGAAGAAATTCTCTAAAAAGAGATATGCTTCTTCTAGAGTTTCAGGTTTACATGTAAACTATGTGTCAATTTTATCCTAATGCATAATAGTTGTTCATTAGATATTTTTAAACCCTTTTTCACTGTAAATAAAGCTTCTGATATAAATTTAATCAATAAAAGTAATATGTCCATTATCTTTGTTTCTAGTTACCTTCAATAAATACATAAGCCTAGTAATGTGTGTCGACGAGGATGCACGGTACAAATGTAAATCAAAGTAACTGAAGTTAAACTGTATGCCTTTCTTTTCATGAAAACAATGACAAAGTATTGATATTTGAGTCATTATAAGTAAATAGAGGCTGGGTCCAGGCTGGAAAAAGGCCCGAGGTGGCCAGACTAAAACATGGCACCAATGTATGAAGTCTCTGACTGTTGGTTTAAGCCATGTAGGACGATGCAGACTAGGTGGTTGGGGTCCACGGGACAAGAGGAACCAGTGGTTGGAGACCCTAGGTGATATGGCTCAGAACCGATGTCAGTGGTGCAGATGTATATACACATTATCCTCATCTTAACAACGCTATACCGAATCTCACCATTTTGTCACTCCTCTTTCCTTTCTTCTCGTACTTTATATTTCTTTTGACTGCATTCACTTATCTTCAACCTACACCTCACTACCTTTTTACTTGATGTGCTGATATGAGGTGTGGCAACTCGGACCGTTACGCAGTAATGCCTGGTCCTATGTTGATGTTGATAAGTAAATAGATAGATTCAACCTAATTTTAATTATTAATATTTTTATGAATTGTTACAAAACGCTTTCTGATCGAAATCATAATCTACAAATTGACTATTTTCCAAAAAATAGTAACATTACATACCAACATGTGAGTCAGTTACATCATTAGGAACCTTCAAGCTTTAATGAATTTCCACTTTAATTGATTTAATATTACAACAGAGATTTCATGCTGAATGTAAAGTGACCAGTTAGTGGACAGACAACTTGCATAATGATGTCTCAAAGTATGATAAATCCTTTTTTTAGTAACTATCTTTACAAATGAAGTGTTTTAGTTACGGTAAGGAATCAGTCTTCCTAAGCTGAAAAAGTCTCTATCTATATCACTAATATAAGAGTAGAATTTTGGTACTATGATATAGTATGATTCCATTATATACTATTTATATGTACCATACAATAGAACAGTCTTATTTACTGAGGATATTTCGAGCAGAATTTATTGGTAAAAAATCATCTCACTTTGAACATATGAGTATAACATTCTGCTCAAAATATCATCTCTATCTCCTTATTTACTGTTTTCACAGTTTATATCAAGTGCTTTGGTTCGACTTGTAGCAGTATATTGGCATGAAGTAAGGAATCTTTGGGGGTATCAAATATTTTAATAATATTACTGAGCCATTACCGTTGAACTATCACCTGGTTCATATCGATAGCTGTACGGCGTTTTGTCTTATCTGTAGAACACAGTGGCTATAGCTCATTGGTTTGGCCTACTCGCTCATGCCCTGCCCTACCTAATGGGGTTTGAGCAGCTAGTTAATATCACATACCTCACAAGATAGATGTGACTCATTGTCCACTGCATGAATGTGAACAAGAATGCTGGGTGCATTTCAATTTTTTAAACGACAACACAGTAACGCTAAAGAAGATCTACTTATTCGAGTATTTGGTAATCTGTATCCTTGATAAAACACCTATTAACCTGTTTTTATTCTAGAAGCTTACATTTTACTAGCAACTAAGATTTGGACAGTCACACTTGTAATCATGAGATCTAACAAAATAAGTTTGACTCAAAGTTAAGCATATGAATGTGAACATAGTTTATGAATTGCATTATTATATGTATGTGTATACAATAACAATATTGTTTTTCTTGACTGAAAAAGATTTACGTTATTTTGTATAAAAAAATGATGTGAAAGGAGTAGTATGCACTCAGTTTATACTATTCTGATTTTCAGCTTGTATGATTTTTTTTAAAAAAAATAGGATAGTAAACTATATATTACGCAAGTATATATTGAATTTCGATTGATGTACTTTGTAAATGACTTTTGTATAAATACTTTTACCCAAACAGTTATAATACAAGGACTACTAGTGTTCAGAATAGAATGAAATTGTTGTTCAGTGTAGCGTTTTTATGTTTTCTCAACAGTGTCTTCAGTGCTTCTTATGCTGGGTACAGTGGTTACACTGGCTATAGTGGTTATGGTTCTGGAAATGATGGTGGCTATACTCATCATGGTGGGTTCAGGCATTTCTCTTACACTGTAGATTTGTATGGTAACAACAATGGTGACAGTCATTCTATCAAGACATATGATAAGTATTCTGCTACAAACAATGATAAATCTTATGACAATAACGACTACAGCAGTTATTCTGATAAGGGATATGATAAATACAACGGAAAAGTGTACGGTATATATGATACCTATATTACTCAAAAGGATAGTGCTGATAAAACCTTAGTAGATGGACCTAGTAAATCTGACTACAGTCAGAATGAATACAATGAAGACTACACGCAGAATGACGGTGAGAAAACTTATGAAGAGAATGGCTACGTCAAGGACAATGAAAACTATGATAATGGTAAAGTGTACAACAACTATGCTTATGGTGCTATCTCTGACAAATACGAGAACACTAAGAACGATGACACAGGAAATGCCAAATATGAATACGCCAAGAACTATGAAAAAGCATACCAAAATTATGGTTACGGTAACAGCTACGAAACGTATGATATCAGTAAAGGGTACGACAAATACAGTTACGGTGATAGCTCTGTTAAGTATCCTTACACCAAAGGTTATGACAAGTACGGTTATAGTAGTGACTACAGCAAATACTATGGTTACAAAGACTATAACACATACAGTTATGAAAAATACAATGGCAAATATGGCTATGGCAACAATGGTCACGAAAAAAAACGGTTACGGTGAATATGATAATGGCAAAGAACATGACCGAAACGGTAATGGAGGATTCCATGGGAAGAATGGTTACGACAAATACGGTTACGGTGAGTACGATAATGGCAAAGACTATGAGAAATACAGTTATGAAAAATACAGTGGCAAATACGGTTACGGTAAATACGGTTACGGTGAATATGATAATGGCAAGGAACATGATCGAAACGGTAATGGAGGATTCCATGGGAAGAATGGCTACTACAAATACGGTTACGGTGAGTACGATAATGGCAAGGAACATGATCGAAACGGTAATGGAGGATTACATGGGAAGAATGGCTACTACAAATACGGTTACGGTGAGTACGATAATGGCAAGGAACATGATCGAAACGGTAATGGAGGATTACATGGGAAGAATGGCTACTACAAATACGGTTACGGTGAGTACGATAATGGCAAGGAACATGATCGAAACGGTAATGGAGGATTCCATGGGAAGAATGGTTACGACAAATACGGTTACGGTGAGTACGATAATGGCAAAGACATGAGAAATACAGTTATGAAAAATACAGTGGCAAATACGGTTACGGTAAATACGGTTACGGTGAATATGATAATGGCAAGGAACATGATCGAAACGGTAATGGAGGATTCCATGGGAAGAATGGCTACTACAAATACGGTTACGGTGAGTACGATAATGGCAAGGAACATGATCGAAACGGTAATGGAGGATTCCATGGGAAGAATGGCTACTACAAATACGGTTACGGTGAGTACGATAATGGCAAGGAACATGATCGAAACGGTAATGGAGGATTACATGGGAAGAATGGCTACTACAAATACGGTTACGGTGAGTACGATAATGGCAAGGAACATGATCGAAACGGTAATGGAGGATTACATGGGAAGAATGGCTACTACAAATACGGTTACGGTGAGTACGATAATGGCAAGGAACATGATCGAAACGGTAATGGAGGATTACATGGGAAGAATGGCTACTACAAATACGGTTACGGTGAGTACGATAATGGCAAGGAACATGATCGAAACGGTAATGGAGGATTCCATGGGAAGAATGGCTACTACAAATACGGTTACGGTGAGTACGATAATGGCAAGGAACATGACCGAAACGGTAATGGAGGATTCCATGGGAAGAATGGTTACGGCAAATACGGTTACGGTGAGTACGATAATGGCAAGGAACATGACCGAAACGGTAATGGAGGATTCCATGGGAAGAATGGCTACTACAAATACGGTTACGGTGAGTACGATAATGGCAGGGAACATGACCGAAACGGTAATGGAGGATTCCATGGGAAGAATGGTTACGGCAAATACGGTTACGGTGAGTACGATAATGGCAAAGATTATGAGAAATACAGTATTGAAAAATACAATGGCAAATATGGCTACGGTAAATACGGTTACGGTGAGTACGATAATGGCAAGGAACATGTCCGAAACGGTAATGGAGGATTCCATGGGAAGAATGGTTACGACAAATACGGTTACGGTGAGTACGATAATGGCAAAGACTATGAGAAATACAGTTATGAAAAATACAATGGCAAATACGGTTACGGTAAATACGGTTACAGCAAATACGATTATGGCCAATACTACGGTAGATACAGTTATGAAAAAGACTATGATAAGCTTAAGAACGATAAGGAATATAACAGATATGAAAATGGACACGAAAAGTTTGGGGAAGATGATAATGGCAAGGACTATGAAAAGTATGAAGGTAGATATTATGATAAACACAATCATGGGAAATTATATGATAAATATGATTATAGTAAAGGTCATGATAGGCACGATCATGAGCATGACCGCCACCATCAAGATCATGAACATCATGATTATGGACATGATAATCATCGTTACCAATATAAAAAATAAAAAACTAAACAATTACTTGTGTCTTTCAATGTATTTCTTTTGTAGATTATAATAAAACTATCACATATGAAAACATTTCATTCTGACCCCAATATTCAACTTTCAATTTAGTCAGAGAAAGTCTTAATTTATTATAATTGATAGCCTTTAGCCCAGCTGCCTTTAGTTGATTTTTTCTTTCTTAATAGAGTTTCAGAAATTGCTATAAGTGTTGAATATGACTTTAAATTTGTTCGTAGACTGATATACATTGAGTATGTGAAATGGTCAGAAAATGTAGTACTGTATGTATCAAGGGAGGGAGATATTCCAAATATACAAAACAATTAAATTTACGAAAAGTTACATGTAAAGAAATAATAATTCAAACTGAATTAGAAATATGAGTTACTAAGGAAATCGGTAGTCTTACTAACAAACGACACAACTCTGTCTAGCAGCGATAATAGCTGGTTAGACAGTTGCAATAAATTGATAACAGATATGCATCAATGCTTCATATGAAACTCAAAGAAAAATTCTAGGTGAAACCTGGTTAACAGTTAGGTCTGGTAATTTAAACAATAATACCCATAGATAGCAAACCCTAGGCCACTAGTTAGAATCATGTAGTAACTTAGTTTTGCTTAAAGCTTCACTTATCATCTCTGAATATGAAGAAAATTCTGCGAACCAAGGCTGTCTTAGAAAATTCAATTGACGATTCACACACGGCTTAAAATGACTTATCGCCAGTGGGATTTGATGTCTGAGGCTCGAATGCAGCATCGATGGGAACTCTGAATATCGAACAACAGCTGTTACATGTTGAACGAAAAGTTGAGTACCATAAATTTCACATGAAGTTGCTTCCAAGATAGCATAGCGGATACAACTACATCGATCGATTAGTTTGATCCTAAAACTCGAGATCTAGTAAAAACATTTAAAAGCTTCTCTCTTTATTCCTACTACTGAAGAGCGTTAATAAGTATTATCTTGTATAAACTCATTGGCTGGTTTTCATTAAATTTATCAGTTAATACTGAGGGTATAAATATGAGTGTATAGATTTCGGTAATCTTAAGCTTTCAGGGAACCACACTTTTAAATTTATTTGAAAGCGAATTTATCGGTAAAGGATTGAGGTTTAACGTTCAAAGGAAGCCCGCCAAACAGCTGCTCCCTAAACGCTATGATCAGACTGGCATATTACAACGATCCAACGAAATATACTGGCTGGAACGCTTGTTTATTGAAGACCCACAATACCAGGAAGGTTTGTTGAGTAATGGTAGGATAAAAAGTATTTACTATTATAGTTTAAATTGCTACCCAAGTATGGGAATCCCAGAGTGAAGCTGAACTGCTGACTGGATAGAATGTGACAGCAGTTATGGATTTCCTGCAGATTACCAGCAGTACCGTGCTGATGTCGCCTTCCCTATGGCAATGACGGTTAAAAAGGAGGTTGGTCTGAGAAGTACCACACTCTTTCCTGTTCTGCTGTTTTCCGGTGCCAGTGGGTTGGGTTTTCCTAACTCAGCATTAGAACAACCAAATCTGAATCCAACAATCGGTCTAAAACTGTTCAAAATATCTCAGGTAGATATTCCATGGACTCCAAAATCATTTAACACTATTTGTTTCTCTCTCAAGTACCTAACAGAAACTACTTACATGATGTCAGCAAACAGAAAGTACCAACTGCCCACTCACTCCCAGAAGCATGTAGAATCCATGAACGTATGCTGTGTCTCTGAAACATGTATACAGAACCTGATTGCGGTTAACTTGACCACACCTCAGTGTGGTGCATCTATAAAATTCACCATACAAGTACGCAGAAATTCAGTAACCAACTATCAAGGACTCTCTGTGTAGGTGTAGGAATGTTGTAAAATAGAGTGTGCACCTCTCAACGGGATACTAGTCAACATCTTTCTGCTGTTTGACAGAATGAATCTGCAAAAGCTATGAAGGATCATCAGACCAACCAATGCCTATTCGTAATCTCTACCTACGCACCCACCGAGTTCAGTTTGAATAATGAAAAGGATGAATTAAATGGGCTATCAGTTTCGCTAAAGAAAACAAAACGTTCAGATATATTCATAATAGCAAGTGACTGTAACGCTCAAGTAGGGGGCCTGAGCCAGTTGGAAAGGTACCTTGAAGGTATCTAGGGAATCCACGAAAACGAAGCAATAACAATGGTCTTCTCTTGGAATTTCGTTTCAGCAATCACTTGTTTCTAACTAATGCCACCTTTAAACATAAGGAAAGACACTGTTTCGCTTGGCGTCCGCTAACATAAAAATAACGATGGACACAGATAAATCATATTGCCACACACCATTGTTGAAGAGGATCAGTGGAGGATTGCCTCTATTTCTAGAGTACTCCCTTGGACTCTGACTACGTGTGATTACGAACACGTGTATGTCTGCGCACTAATGGTTGCAGTAAACACAGAATTGAGCCCTTGTGTCCTCCACTGTACAATAAAAGCGTCCAGTTTGAGTACTCACTCAGGATGTAGCTAAGCATTTATCAAACCGTAACACCAATGCTCATCCTGAGGAAAAGACATGATATTCGGTCTGCACTCGAAATAGAACTAAAGACACTTGGTAACCTACATCCAAAAGTTAGCTAAATTCAATGACTTTTGGCAACCTCAATTAAAATGATGCATGCTAAACCCTTTACAACTATCTCTGATAAAAATGAGGAGCGAAACCAACATAAATAAAAATCGATTAGGAGCCTCCGCAGTGGCGAAAGCGGTGATGGAGAATGTATCAGCCCTAGACAATACTTGGTTAGATGAGTACTAAGATGGATGGAACCCTGACAATCTTTTAGAACAGGAAACTAGAACGTTTAACGGAACACGTTGAAGAACAATTAAAATGGCCGGCAATTTTACTATCTAACCCAGACCGCTTTGACTTTAGCCCATGCAAAAGTTTCTAACCTTGTGGTGACACTATTCACTTATCACATACACTTTCATGTTCGTTTCTATTTTATTTTTCGATTGGTCATATGTAACAGAATGATAATTCGAATATATAAAAATAGGTTAACTTGATCTTAGTAATAACAATTGATTTCATCTGGACTTCCTTAATCTGTACCAATTCTCTTGTTATCTCTAATCAACGGACTACAATCTTTGTAATGATTAAAGTATCTAGGTTTTATTAATGGTAGATACGGGCTAGCAATGGAATCCAGGGTGTGCATTTCGTCCTAGTTGGGACTCATCAGCTGGATGTACCTGCTTCCCAGTGAGTGATATTGTTCCCACTGTGATTCCAACTCAGCGCCGATCGCTTCAGAAGCCAGAGCCTAATCCACTACACCACGGAACCATGATACTCACTTTTTGTGCGGCAGGTATAGTTTTAGTATAATTGCTTGTATTATGCCGTCGTTGATTGGACCGAATTGATCGGTCTTTATTGGCACATGGGCTCCTGTGCGGATCCCTCGATATTACCTGTGTTTTAATTATAATAATGATTCCACTGCTAGCCACAACCCATCATTACTATAATTAAAAAAACACAGGTAATATCGAGGCATCCGTACAGGAACCCATATGCCAATAGAGACCCATCAATTCGGTCCAAGCAATGACGGTAAAATATAAAAACAATCATACTATTCAGATTGTATTTCTCTGTTTATATCTTAGAATTTTTATAACTCGTTAGTAGTTGATATGATGATTTCATCGTATTCTGCAAAATTTATTTTACTTCCTGTACTAATAATATCAAAATTACATTGATATCAACTGATAAAGTAGGGAAATGTGGAAAATTGAATTCCGGCCAAGTGGTTCAATTGTAACATGCTCGCCGTGAAACCTGACGATCTTGGCCCCTGACGTAGTCATTTGTACGCACTGCTGAGGAGCCGCATACAGGGATGAAACAGTTTTCCAGTT